TTATATGAAGTATAATTAAAATTTATTTATTGTCATGGACAATATTCTCATGAACACAACTAAATAATTTTCATTCCAACATTTTTTAAAGTGGAGTTTCATTGTGAGGGGGTCTTTGGTGTTCTCTGAGCTTTGTTGTTTGCTTGCAGGTGTTTAATTATTCAAACTAGGTAACATCATCAGTGCTAATGTAATGAAATGTCTGCAAGAAATCAGCCAAGCTCAAAGAGCACCAAGGATACTCATTTCAACCCTGAGTTACAAATGTTGGACGAGGGGATAGATGGGGAAATCATCAAATTTGCAGATGACACCAAGCTGGCAGGAATAGCCAACACTCCAGAAGACAGGCTTAGGATACAAGAGGATCTGGACAGACTTGAACACTGGGCGCTATCTAACAAAATGAAATTCAATGGTGAAAAAAGTAAGGTTCTACATTTAGGCAAGAAAAACCAAATGTACAGGTATTATATAGGGAGTACCTTGCTCAATAGTAGTAACTGTGAGAGGGACCTCGGAGTCCTAGTGGACAATCACTTAAATATGAGCCAGCAGTGTGCTGCAACTGCCAAAAAGGCCAACACAGTGCTGGGCTGCATTAACAGAGGGATAGAATCAAGATCACGTGAAGTATTAATACCACTTTACAATGCCTTGGTAAGGCCACACTTGGAATACTGCATCCAGTTTTGGTCACCACGATGTAAAAAAGAAGTTGAGATTCTAGAAAGAGTACAGAGAAGAGCAACAAAAATGATTAGGGGACTGGAGGTTAAAGCATATAAGGAAAGGCTGCTGGAATTGGGTATGTCTAGTGTAACAAACAGAAGGACGAGGGGGGACATGATAGCAGTGTTCCAATATCTCAGGGGCTACCACAAAGAAGAGGGAGTCAAGCTATTTACCAAGGCACCTGAAGGCAGAACAAGAAGCAATGGATGGAAACTAATCAAGGAGAGAAGCAACCTAGAACTAAGGGGAAACTTCCTGACAGTTAGAACAATTAACCAGTGGAGCAACCTGCCTCCAGAAGTGGTGAATTCTCCAACACTGGAAGATTTTAAGAAGAGACTGGACAGCCATTTGTCTGAAATGGTATAGGGTTTCCTGCCTGAGCAGGGGGTTGGACTAGATGACCTCCAAGGTCCCTTCCAACTTTATTATTATTATTATTATTATTATTATTATTATTATTATTATTATTATTATTATTNTTGTTGTTGTTGTTGTTGTTGTTGTTGTTATTATTATTATTCATAGTTTCATCATTCTGGTATTGTTAGACTGCTCAGTTGAAGCTATACCCTTGAATTTATGATTTATGACACACTAAGATGTGGGGAGTTCAACTTTTACTTTGCAACCTTTTGGGGGGGGAACTTTCAGTCTTGTTTTCACCTATGATTGTGCTGATATTATGTAGCCATTAAAAGTGTTCTTTGAGGAAAGCAATTGCCTCAGAGTTCTTATTTCTACTAGTCTCGTTTATCGGAACTATGACATTAAACCAAGACTGCAAATTTCTTTCATCCATGGGGTTCTGAGCCCCGGTCACCTACCCAAGCATTGGGAGGATGACAAAGACTCAGGGAAGACATAGAGATGGAAAAGAAAGGGGAATCACTCCCAAGCCTGGGAGCAGCTGCAGCGGATGGGACACAGGCTGCTACTTTCGTGGAGAGTGTGGTCCTAGCAGCTGGAGCAAGACCAAAGAACTGTGAAGTCCTTCTGAAGAAGCTGACTCAGAAGGAGGAAACCATCGTCCTCAGGGGGACCTGGTGGTCTGACGCTGCACTGCTGCTAAAGAGCATGCTGAAAGCTGCAGAGGTTGAATTCCCACTGGTTTCATTGCTTTGGAATGCAAATATTTTGGTGGAGGTTTGGATAATGGTCATCTGGACATGCAGAGCAGTCATCCATGTCTGAAAAAGAACACAGTGGAGTTGATATAGTGGATTATATGCAGTGTTGCACCATAATAGCTTAATCTCGTTATAATTGGAAACTTCCTACTCTTCTTATCTGTTATTTTCCCCTCTGGACACAGACAGCAATCATAACAGCAAAACGGCTCCCCTTCTTTCTTGGCCTTGCTATATCCTGCTTCACAAGGATCATTACACAAAGATAAAGGTGATGCCTATCAATGAATGAAGAAGTATTTTAAGATACAGAGAAGAAAGGAAGTGCTTGGAGAGATACTGTTACTTTGGAATCAACAGAATAATGTTGATAAGCAGAAGTAGTGTAATGACATTATTTTGAGATGTTATTAATTAATTAATAGTAGTAAAGTTGGAAGAGACCTTGGAAGTCATCTAGTTCAACTCCTTGCTCAGGCAGGAAACCTTATACCATTTCAGACAAATGGCTGTCCAGTCTCTTCTTAAAAACTTCCAGTGTTGGAGCATTCACCGCTTCTGGAGGCAGGTTGTTCCACTGGTTAATTGTTCTAACTGGCAGGAAGTTTCCCCTTAGTTCTAGGTTGCTTCTCTCCTTGATTAGTTTCCACCCATTGCTTCTTGTCCTGCCTTCAGGTTCTTTGGAAAATAGCTTGACTCCCTCTTCTTTGTGGCAGCCCCTGAGATATTGGAGCACTGCTATCATGTCCCCCCTCGTCCTTCTCTTCATTAAACTAGACATACCCAATTCCAGCAGCCGTTCGTTATATGCTTTAGCCTCCAGTCCCCTAATCATCTTTTTTGCTCTTCTCTGTACTCTTTCTAGAGTCTCAACATCTTTTTTACATCGTGGTGACCAAAACTGGATGCAGTAGATGTTACTGTCTATCTCACATTGTTCTATGTTACAAGAGGTAAGCTGCAATCTACTTTGTCAAATGCCTTACTGAAGTCTAAGTAAACTTTTTCTAATTAGTTTTATTCATTTATAACATAAAATGTGAAAATACAAAAGAAAATAGTAGGGGACAGTAGAAAAAGGGAAAACAAAAAAGGTGTGAAGAAAGGGAGGGGAAGAAACAAAAGGCATTGATTTCTGACTCTCTCTGTTGCAGTAAAATCAGACATTAAAATCAAATCTCAACTTTTTACATTTCTATAGTAGTATGCACTAGCCATGTCTGTATTGGCAAATAATTGCAATCAGTAAAACTCAAAATCATAATATTATTTTTTTCTACCTCAAGCACAAAGCTCAGAAGCAGAAACAAAAGTACTTATGCTCTTTTGTTTTATCAGCACAGTCAATTTGGCCATCTCTGCTAATTCCACCAGCTTTTGTAACCATTTGTCCGTGGTAGGAATCGAGGCATCCTTCCACTTTGGTCCATAAGCAATCTTGCTGCCGTCACCATATATAAAATCAGAGTTCCAATTTTTTTTCAGTTCTTTTTCCATTAGACCCAAAAGGAAAGTTTCTGGTTTAATCCTTATGTTCACTTTAAGAATTTTCTCCATTAATATATGAATCCTACTCCATTTTTTTTGCTTTATCACATGTCCACCATAAATGATAAAAAGTCCCTTCTTTACATTTACATTTCCAACATTCATTTGAAATACCTTTATACATTCTAGATAACTTATCTGGTGTTAAAGTCTAAGTAAATTATTTCCATAGCATTTTCCTTATCTACTAATTTAGTCACTTTGCCAAAAAAGGCAATAAGGTTTGTCTGGCATATTTTGTGTTTGGCAAACCCATGCTAGCTTCTAGTAATTGTCTTGCTCATTTCTAGATGCTCACAAATCCACTGCTTGATTATGTTTCCCACCATCTTCCCAAATATTGATGTGAAGCTGATTGCTCTGAGTTTCTTAGATCTACTTTTCTTCCCTTTTGGTAGATTGGAACCATGTCAGCTCTTTTCCAGTCCTCTGGTATTTCCCTGGTGCTCCTGGAGCTTTGAAATATTTTGTTTAGTGAAAGCCATAAATAAGAAAAAGAAGATATCTTTCTCTTTTTTACATTCCCTTTTGTGAAGAATTGTCTTGATTATTGCAGCAAAAATTGGGCATAGCAAAAGGGACCATAAAGGGGTTGAAAGGGTAAAGCAGTGATGAATATGTGCATCATAAATGTCTCCAAGCCAGTAACAGAAATGGAGGTAATAGAATGCTAATGCAATAATTTATATTCCTTCAATAATGGAATGCAGTAAATTCTAGAATGTTACTATAACTCCACTTGCAGCGGTTGCAAATAACATCACCTTAAAACTTCTAACCTGATTTCAGCAATCCATCTTCTAGGCCAGATTGCTAGGAGAAGGCATGAAGAAAATATTTGATTGACAGCCAGAAAACCTAACTTCTCTCTATCCAGCAATTAATTCAGAAAGGGCTTTTTATACTTTTGTTGTTCTTTTAAAACCATTTCTTAAGCAAGGACTTATTTATTTATTTACTTGTTAGATTGCCTCTAGGATCTCAACACACTATTGACTGCATTGCCTCTTCCAATTTTTCTTCACAACTACTGTACGTAAGATAAGTTGGCTGGAAAAGAATTGCTGGTCACTTAGTTTCTGTGTTATTGGTTCAATGTGAACCTGTGTCTTTCTAATTTTAGCCCAACATTTTAATTATTTAGCCATACTGACTTACTAAAGATTTGTCTTTCCATTGAGATAAACAGTGTGGATTAGAGTGGTTATTTAAAATATCAAAAATTATTAATTAATAATTGAAATATTTTATTTTAAAGTGCAATTAGTAAGTTGCAAATCATGAAAGTCAGCTTTCTGAATTAATGAAACTTGTATTCCATTTATGGATAACAATTCTTGAAATATGTCAAATGATAGGAAAGAGAAAAGGAAGGAAGGGAGGGAGGGAGGGAGAGAGGGAGGGAGGATGGAAAATATAACACTAAATGATAATGGAGTTGGAACTAACAAGAGAAATTGGAACCATAAGTAAGAAGGCTCCCTGTTTCCTCAGTTCAGCTTAAAATCATAATTTTATAAAAGGACTGTTTTTAAAGATGTCTACAATTGGGGGCATATAACAATTTGAGGCTGAAATAGCTAATTTTTAAAACTTTTTTTTCATTATCTGATGCTTATTGTTCAGTTCAGGCCTCATCACAATGATAAAACACTTGGGAAAAAAAATACACATCAATAAGCCAGCACTGGAGGAGATCATGGAGAAGACTTCCACAACCAACATGTATTTTCCTCTTGTGCTTATATAAGTAGGAATAAAGCATAACCAAACAGTGCAGAAGACCAACATACTGAAAGTTATGAATTTAGCTTCATTGAAACTATCAGGTAACTTTCTAGCTAGAAAAGCAACAGAGAAGCTGACCAGCGCAAGAAAACCCATAAAACCTAACACACAGTAGAACATGGTGGCTGACCCTTCACTGCACTCCATGATGACTTCTTCAGACATTGAGTGCATATCAAAATCTGGATATGGTGGAAAAATTGCCAACCATATGATGCAGATAGTGATTTGAACAAGGCAACAAAAAAGAACAATGAAACTCTCCATTGCTTTCCCCACCCATTTTCTCATTCTAGATCCTGGCTTAATGGCCATAAAAGCTAGGACCACAACAAAGGTTTTGGCTAACACACAAGAAACTGCCATGGAGAAGATGATTCCAAAAGCTGGTTGTTGAAGGAGACACACAATCTTACCAGGTTTCCCAATAAATAATAAAACACAAAGGAAAGAGAGGAGGAGAGAAACTAGGAGAATATAGGTGAGATTCCGGTTGTTGGCTTTTACAATGGGAGTGCATTTGTGTTTAATGAAGATCCCAAGCACCAGAGCTGTGGTAAAAGAAAAAGAAAGAGCACAAATAGCTAAACTGATCCCTAAGGGTTCTTCATAGGATAAGAAAGTTATGTGTTTTGGAATGCATGCATCTTTGTCATGGTTTGAATAATGACCTTCTGGACAATGAAAACAGTCTTCCATATCTGAAAAAAGAAAACAACAATTCTGGTTATTGACCTTCATTCATCAAGCCTTAGTATCACATAACTCTCAGAGAGAAGCTAGTCATCAACAGTGACACTGACTATTTAATCATTTTAATATGAAACCATATTCACTGAAGATTAGAGCAAATTTTAGGCCCAGAAACCTTGGCCCATACCCAAAGTCCTTACCTGTCATGCATTTCATTCTATCTTAGATATCACATACTATGTAATAGCTATATATCATTTTTTGTTACAAATATGTATGTAATGTATTTTCACAATCCTTTTCACTGTGAATAGCCTTAACTCCAAGGAAATTTCCACACACATGGAAGGTTATATTTTAATCTTTGTACATTACCCAGAGTCACTTGTGTGACATTGGTAGTCATCTAAATAAATAAATAATCCAAATAAAAAGACCTGTTAATAACGTAGCTTATTCCATTACTTCTCAAAAATGTTTACCTTCTTTGTTTGAAATTTTTCCTTCTGGACATGGATGGCAATCATAGCAGCAAAATGGTTTTGATTCCTTCTTAGCCTTGCTATACCCTCTTTGGCAAGGATCATTACACAAAGAAAGAGGATGTGCCTATCCAGAAATTAAAAATGTTGTGAAGATTTTTACAAAAGCATTTGAGCAATTTCTATCTTACAGGAGAATTTAAAGCTTAGACATGGAGTAATAGCTACTATTGAACTATTATAATATTATTGGGAAAGAATACTTGGTCTGCAATGATTTAATGGAATAGCCACCCTTCTTTGAATTTGTCCCCCCAAGTTATTTAAAACTGGCTCCTGAAGCCAAAGTGTTCTTCATCCTTTGATTTCTCTCACATGAATGTAGTTGATCTTTTCAGTTGATATCCTTTATTAGAAGGATGATTCTTAGCATCTGCTCATCTGTCAAATTTCTAAGCAACACTATCTGGTGCCCCATGACTTTTGGATTGCTCCTGCCCCTCTCCCCTACGGGTGTGTTGGACCAATCGGAGGGAAACTCCTGCAGCCCCGAAGGGGGAAGGCAGGTTGCTACTGCAGTTGTTCTGCACTCCAGGTGTCCCTTCTGCACGCGGCTGGCATGCCGCCCAGCCGAGGCCCAGGACAATGGCTTCGCTGCTGTCATTGGCCAGTCCGTGAGTCCACCTGCCGGGTGGGGAATTGTGCCGCCCACTCTGAGGTGTTCTCCTCTTCTTGCAGCCACTACCCAGGGCCAAGCGTGTCACCCGTCCCATCCCGTCTGTCCTTCCATCCATCTTCGCAACTCAGAGCCGGCCCAGTGAACGGGCCCGGCTCCCGCCCCTCTCCCCTTCAGGTGCATCGGACTAATTGGAGGGAAACTTCTGCAGCCCTGAAGGGGGAAAGCAGGTTGCTGCTGCAGCTGTTCTTTGCTCCAGGCATCTCTTCTGAGCACAGCCAGCATGCCACCCGGCCAAGGCCAGGGCCAGCGGCATCACAGTTTCCACACCTGAGGGTTGGCCTCTTTCTGCGCCACCAGTTTTCCTCCCCAACATGTGGGTTGGGTACCTGAGACATCCTCTGGTGTGGTAGTTCAAAGCCTCGAGCTGCCTCACATGGCTTCCACCTCGACTCCCCACATATCCCCCAGCAGTCGCAGGGCTTCCTGAGCGGAGGGATCCCGGGCCAAGCTGAGCGCCCAGTCCTGTAACCGTTGAAATCCAGCTGTGCCCACATCTTGTCTTTCCATTTGTGTGTGGCGTGCCCTCATCATCAGGCCAGCCAGCCACACAGCAGAGGAGGAGGAGGAGGGGCAGCCGGGTGTCTGGAGCTACTTCAGTTGCTCACTGGCCTCAGCAGGCACCAATGAGGCAGCGGAGTTCGCACACCGGCTGCTCAGCCTCATGGGGTGGCAGCAACTGCAACGGTGATGATCCCTACCTCATTAGGACGGCCAGCCTTGCAGTAGAGGAGAAAGATGAGGGGCAGCCGGTGTCTGAGCTGCCTCAGCTGCTCTGGGAGCAGGAGATATCAAGTGATTTCCTTCCATTGCAAAGGCTTTTGCCATTTCCTCTGTCTTTTTCACTTGGTACATCTCTCTCTCTCTCTCTCTCTCTCTCTCTCTCTCTCTCTCTCTCTCTCTCTCTCTCTCTCTCTCTCTCTCTCTCTCTCTCTTCCCACTTGGGAGCCCTCTTGCCCCCTGGAGTTTAAACCTGGTTACCTGGATTTGAATATCTAACCTGGAAACCCGCTTCTGAGCCTTTCGCTCTCTTTATTCTCTGAACTTTCCCCCAAGCCTTAAATCTTGCCCTGTCCTAATTCAGAGCCTTTCACAGAGAGCCAGGCTTTCTGGGCAAATGACATCAAGGCCAAAACTTGGTGGGTTGTCATTGTCAGCAGGAGGGCTTCTTGGCTAGTTTGTCCCTTCAGGGTTACGTCAGTAACTTTCCTCACCTATCGAAGCAGACAGTGAAGTGACAGATCAGAGGAGCTTCCATCTTCCCCTTCGTTGGCTTGGGTTTGGCATGGTGAAGGTTACTGCTCCATGTGGAGTAAAAGAGCATCAGTTGTAAGGAGCACCTGTTGTCTGCACCCTATGAATGAATTCACCATTGCTTGACTAAGTCATGGTGTGGTTTGTGATCCAATCCAGTTACTGTGCTTTGTAAACCTTGGTTTATGGCTCAATATGCTGCATAAACCCGTTAACAGTATAGCTTGAGCCCAGCCCCCTTTTCGATAATGCAGACAACCATCCCCATTGCTGATTCCTAGCTTGGCTGACTGAGCAAGCCACGTTGCTGCAACTGTGAAAAACTAGTCTTCCTTTACTTTCTTTTTTCCTCCAGAAGGCTGGAGGAAGCATTCAGTCTCATACACTCTGCCATTAGGGGGAATGAAGGGACTAGCAGCAGCTTTTTTTTTAGCCATCTCTGTTACTCACAGGCCTATTTAGATAAACAAGCAGAAAAGACAGTTGCCCAAAACTTCTGATTCTGCTGACTTTTGCTCTTGGGTGAAGAGCAAACTTGGGCCATGTTCACACAACAAATTAATCATCAGAAGGGGTCAACAAAGATGTATACATTCTCCCCTTACTCCAGTCACTTGTGGCTTAATAATCAGCATCAGATTATTGGAACCAGAATTGATTCTGTTTTGAATTTGAAAACAAAAATTGAAAAGTTTCTGGCCCTAGCCTAGTGAATAAGTTTGAGGTGGGGGGCAGTTTAAGATAATGGCACACCGCTCTTCCCTTAACCTTTTTTAACTTACTGGCTGAGCAGGTTGTGTGAACATAACTACCACCTCCTCATAGCACTAGTGCCCAAAGAGGGAGAGAGGAAAGGGTGGCTTCTTCCAGGGCTCAGTTAAACAAATAGACCAAAGCTTTTCCCCCTTTGGAGAAAAAAATGGAGGGGGGATTGATTTGTTCACCTGCTCAAGCAAAGTGAGTGACCTGCAGAGGCGCAGCAAGAAAGACCTGAGTCTACAGCACCCCACTCAGTCTTTGTCTTCTTTCCCTGAATAAAAAACAATTGGGAATAGATTTATTCTTCCTGCCTTGCTACCATGAGGAGAGGGTGTGTAGCAGTAGAGACAATTGCCTCTACTGCACAGTTGTCTGTAAGAAAATGCTTAAATCTCTTTAATTTAAGCAAATGCTTAAATCTCTTACCATAGTACAGCTGTTAAGACTATGTCCAGCCTTTCGTACTGAACTCCCAGAGAGAGGCAGCAGCTCTTCCTTCCACTATTTGGGATGATACCAGGAGCCAAAATTAGGCAGAGCATACTTGCCCTAAGAGCAAAGAACTGATATGGATCTTTTTAAAGCTATGATAACTCATCAAGATAAATACATGGAATTGAGAACAACTTGTTGGAAAGGACCTTGGAGGTCATCGAGTCCACCCCCCTGCTCAGGCAGGAAACCCTATATCATTTCGGACAAATGGCTGTCCAGTCTCTTCTTAAAAACCTCCAGTGTTGGAGCATTCACCGCTTCTGGAGGCAGGTTGTTCCACTGGTTAATTGTTCTAACTGTCAGGAAGTTTCTCCTTAGTTCTAGGTTGCTTCTCTCTTTGGTTAGTTTCCACCTGTTGCTCCTTGTCCTGCCTTCAGGCGCCTTGGAAAATAGCNGTTCTCTAGCAATGTGTAGAAGAGGGACTTGTGCTGGAGCGGGGGTCTGGCTAACTCCATTCTGTTTTGGTATATTTTCTCTATTCAGATCATTTAGTCCAGTTTAGTCTAGTCTTGCTGGCTGACTGACTGGGGAATTCTGGAAGTTGAAATATAAACTTTTTAAAATTGCTGAAATTGAGAAATGCTGATCTAGAGTAAGAAAGATAGAAAATGCAATAATAATAATAATAATAATAATAATAATAATAATAATAATAATAATAATAATAATAATAATAATAATAATGATGATGTTGGAAGGGACCTTGGAGGTCATCGAGTCCACCCCCCTGCTCAGGCAGGAAACCCTATACCATTTCGGACAAATGGCTGTCCAGTCTCTTCTTAAAAACCTCCAGTGTTGGAGCATTCACCGCTTCTGGAGGCAGGTTGTTCCACTGGTTAATTGTTCTAACTGTCAGGAAGTTTCTCCTTAGTTCTAGGTTGCTTCTCTCTTTGGTTAGTTTCCACCTGTTGCTCCTTGTCCTGCCTTCAGGCGCCTTGGAAAATAGCTTGACTCCCTCTTCTTTGTGGCAGCCCCTGAGATATTGGAACACTGTTATCATGTCACCCCTCGTCCTTCTCTTCATTAAACTAGACATACCCAATTCCAGCAACCGTTCCTTATATGTTTTAGCCTCCAGTCCCCTAATCATCTTTGCTGCTCTTCTGTGCACTCTTTCTAGAGTCTCAACATCTTTTTTACATCGCGGTGGCCAAAACTGGATGCAATATTCCAAGTGTGGCCTTACCAAGGCATTGTAAAGTGGTATTAACACTTCCTGTGATCTTGATTCTATCCCTCTATTAATGCAGCCTAGCACTGTGTTGGCTTTTTTGGCAGCTGGTATTAACACTTCATAATTTATGCGCAGCACTGTGATGGGGAGGGACTGAAAGTATCAAGACTTATCCTGGGTTTCAGGCCATCTCCTTTATTCATTTGTTTTTATTCTGTTCTCTAGCAATGTGTAGAAGAGGGACTTGTGCTGGAGCGGGGGTCTGGCTAACTCCATTCTGTTTTGGTATATTTTCTCTATTCAGATCATTTAGTCCAGTTTAGTCTAGTCTTGCTGGCTGACTGACTGGGGAATTCTGGAAGTTGAAATATAAACTTTTTAAAATTGCTGAAATTGAGAAATGCTGATCTAGAGTNGTTCTCTAGCAATGTGTAGAAGAGGGACTTGTGCTGGAGCGGGGGTCTGGCTAACTCCATTCTGTTTTGGTATATTTTCTCTATTCAGATCATTTAGTCCAGTTTAGTCTAGTCTTGCTGGCTGACTGACTGGGGAATTCTGGAAGTTGAAATATAAACTTTTTAAAATTGCTGAAATTGAGAAATGCTGATCTAGAGTGAGAAAGATAGAAAATGCAATAATAATAATAATAATAATAATAATAATAATAATAATAATAATAATAATAATAATAATAAAGTTGGAAGGGACCTTGGAGGTCATCGAGTCCACCCCCCTGCTCAGGCAGGAACCCTACACCATTTCAGACAGATGGCTGTCCAATCTCTTCTTAAAAACCTCCAGTGTTGGAGCATTCACCGCTTCTGGAGGCAGGTTGTTCCACTGGTTAATTGTTCTAACTGTCAGGAAGTTTCTCCTTAGTTCTAGGTTGCTTCTCTCCTTGATTAGTTTCCATCCATTGCTCCTTGTCCTGCCTTCAGCACCTTGGAGAATAGCTTGACTCCCTCTTCTTTGTGGTAGCCTCTGAGATATTGGAACACGGCTATCATGTCCCCCCTCTTCCTTCTCTTCGTTTTGTTTATCTATTTTGCGTTTTTTCTGTTTGACTTCTGTAATGACTGATGTGTGATCATTGTATAACCTTAAAACTAAAGGAGGATTGATACAGGGTTTTTTTTTTTTAATCTGCCTGGAAGATCTGGATTTTTCTGATTTCCACCCTTTTCTGTAACAGCAGCTTTCTTGAAACAGCCATGACTCTTCATTAGGAGATAAACACTTGTTCCCAACTTGTCACTTTTTTTCTCAATATCCTTTTATAAGCATCTCCCTGAGTTATCTCATTATTTTGACTAGGCTACCTTTGCTCAGTTTCCTACTATACTCAATCTTCATAGTATGTAACTTCAATATTCCCTGCCTCAGTCTGAACACATCTATTATATGGATTTATTTTAACTGATCTCTTCTGGATCCGGGCAGAAGATCTGCAAACATCAACATTATCATTATTCTTATATTCCATTAATTTTTCTATTTGGGCATCCCTAGGTGATCTAAGGATATTGTTTATACATGATCACCAGTAGCAAGCAACTGTGGCTGGCATGTGCTTTTAGAACCTTTGTTTTATGTCTCATCATTTATATTTATTAAGAGAACAGAGATGCCAGCAGCCTTACATTATCAAGAGTATTATGGCTCAGTTCAGTTATTAGATCTTGTTATTTTACTGCTTTCTGATGTACTTGGATCATCCCACACGCAGGGCTGGGCAGGAGGTGGCAGTGGAAGCCTAATGGACCTGCACAAGCTGCTGGCAGTGGCGGCCCGAGGCAAGGCTAAGGTGTGTCAAGTTTGCAAGGGGAACAGGCTCCACGTGCGGGCCAAGGGCGAGATCTGCGAAGGGGCCAAGGAGATGACCAGCATGACCTGCTCTCCAACTGCAAGCAAAAACAGATGGGATGGAGTAAGCGCATCCGGCAGTCTGCATCATGCACCTCCCCCCCAACTCCGCCTGCTGCTGGAGGGCTGGCCCGGTATTTGCAGTGGGCTACGGAGCCCCAGAGTGCACTGGTCAAGGGGCCGGCAGGGTGTGGCTGCTGAAGAACCCCGTCAGCCCCCATGCACTCACTGATCTCTGTGTGCAGGGGCCGATGGTGTGCAGGGGCCGATGCAGCAGCCACCCTATCCCCTGCCTCACCTTGCCTTGCCCTGTGGCAATAGCACTCCCGCCCTGCCCCCTTCCTTGCCTCACCTCACCCTGCAGGACAAGCCTCCTGCACACTGCCCCACCCACCAGAAACCCTCTGGATCTTTCCAACCCTACCCAGCCCCCCAAAGTGTCCCTCCCCACGAGCAACATCGAGGTGGCCCTGCCCATCGCAGTTATGCCCACCCAGCGGGCCATGCCCACCCAGCAATTGGCGATAAATAATTGGGTTTTGGGTTGCAGTTTGGGCACTCGGTCTCTAAAAAATTAGCCAACACTGATTTAGATGATTTGGAGATACTAAATATCCTCCCCATCCAGGAAGATACAGGCTGAGTTGAATAGGGGTGATGGGACCTGCATGCTGACATATATAAGGGATATCAATTTGAATATGTAGAAAAAAGAATTTGAAAAAAACACATACATACATACATACATACATACATACATACATACATACATACATATATATGATTGCAGGCTAAATTTCAACACCAAGTTTTCAGAGTGCATGACTAAGAAAATACTTAGAGCCAAAAAGAAAGTGTTTTGGTCATGTAAATTGTAACAATTTATAAAATATTTGGTATCTATCTATAAACAATAGATATTTATGTATCTTTCTGCTCCTAGGAAATAGCCTTTAAAAATTATAAAAATATTTTATATTGAATATAAAATTAAAATTTGCTTGTCCCATGGAAGAAGCTAAGAAACATATTTGAATCCAGGATGTTTTTAATGTTGTTTAAACAAAATAAACACAACTAGTCAGAACTTACCTGGTTCAAGCTTTTTGGCCACATGATGGAATCTTCAGAAATGTTGAAGAATTTGTCTGGGGAAATCGTAGGATCTATCCTTCCAACCTGGATCCTGAAAAATGACCGGTTTGGGAATGTGACCCAGTTGTTAATATCAAATCCACCAATGAATTCCCCATTTTTGTCAAATGAAATCTTTTCTCCAACACTGTTGTTGAATGAGACCCTTCTCAGGAAAAGATTAAGCTAAATTAAAAAGGGTGAGAAGGAAGATAAAATATGACTCATTCGTCATTCTATTTCTGGTCAAAATCCATTTCATATGGAGTTTGTTTATTAGATTTTTAAAAAATATATATATTTATTAATCTATGAGTTTCTTAAGCACATGAAAATGTACACATATATTTCAATATATTATTTTGTAATGGAAGGCCTTGGAAGATGTCACATAAGGAAAGGGGGTAACTTGGTTGTTAAAATGTTTTTTTTTTCCTTGATGAGTTTCAGCCTAGAGGAAAGCATTTGTCTCCAACAGATATCCTTCTGAGCAATAATGAGAAATATTGGATATGAGAATAATATGAGAATATGAATGCCTGACTGTTCAAGTATAGTGAACAGCTCTAACTGTCTCAAAATAGGGGGAGAGATATGACATCATCTATTTCCAGTCTACAAAACAGTCGTTTCAGCAGTTCCAAGAAGGCTCCACACCCATTTGCATTACTCAGTTGACCTTGAGTACACAGATAAACTTCCAACTGGCCTTAACAACTCTCCAAAAGAATGCAAATGACCAGCTGTCTGCAAGGAATATAAATCCTTCCATTCTCCACCATCCAGTCAGAACTGAAGAAGCTTCTTGGATGAGAAGCAAAACATCTTCAAAGAAAAAACAAGAAAGTCCAGTTGCCTCTTGAAAAAGCACCTTTCGGATATAGCTCTTAGATGTCCTACTTTTCTTTGGAGTGAGCCTTCTAGTTGGCCCATAGAATGAACTTGCAGATCTGCAGCATATCTCTGCTCTGAACATTACCTGCCACAATTGCTGATTCTGAAGCTTGAGCCCTCTTCTGCCCACAATAAAGTTGTGCTTGAGTTTTGATGAATGCATTGCCTCCAAAGCATAAGCTACAGTATAGACAGCATTGTACACATTATAGCTGTGGGCAGTTGTGCTAAATTCAAACACAGATGCAGGAAGGGTTGCCATCTTCTCCTTCCTGGTACAGATTGTGCCATCTTTATTACCTAGATGAGAGTTGTGAAACAAGCACCTGAATGCATGCTGCCAGAAATTCCTTAGAAACCCATCGTGTTCTGCTGTTGTTGGATTTCTGATTAGAAGAAATTCCTGGAAGCCTGGCAGCTCCTTTGAATGAACTGCAAAGGATAAAGCATTTTGGAGGAAATTTATATCCCAATCTCTTTGAAGAGAAATGGACGTGAAATCCATTTCAGCATTCATGATCCAGATCTTTGTTTTCAATGACATATCCTCCACTTCTGAATACTGCACTAACATTTTCAAAAAATTCATGGATTCCATTGCACCATATAAGACAATCACCTTGGTTGTGCTTTTTGCAATAACAGAGTATGTTTTGCATGTTTCGTCCATCACATCTGTAAAGTCACTGTAAAAATCTACCTTTGGGAACTCTCCTATGAAATCAAAACAGATGCCCTGCTGGTAAAAAGTGGAGAGCACCTCCTGTATAAATTTTTCCCCTTGGTCATCATTCACAGCAAGAACTCCAATCCAGATCCATCTAAAGTATAGCAAAAGCTGGAGGAGGCCCTTATGTTGATAGGATTCATTTGGAAACATTTGTTGGAAGAAAACTCCTTGAGTCTCTTTATCCATGACTGGAGCAGAGCCATAGGTCAGCTAAGAAAAATGATAGGGAAGAATGAAGAATGTGTAAGACTATTTTTTCCTTTTAAATAGTGCTAGATTTTTTTTTCTTTCCCTTGGAATCAGTGTTGACCGCTGATGATTGCCTGGACAGTTTCCTGCATTTTTTTTTGGGGGGGGGGGGGCAAGATTTCAGAAGTGGTTTGCTATTTCCTAGGGCAGAGCAAGAATGACTGGCCCAATGTCACCCAATTGGCTTAATGCTTAAGGTGGGGCTAAAATTCACAACTCCCAGTTTCAGACCCAACGCCTGAATCACTACACCAAACTGGCTCTCTAAATAGTGTTATGCTTTTTAAATTATAATGACTATTTTCAGACATCAGTTTGAAATATCCAGTTTGATGGATATACTCATGTGTGCTTATGATGATTATCAACAAATTGGACAATCTCTATTTTTTCCATGTGGACATGTGTACATTATGAATGCATTGCTGTAGAAAACATCTGGACAAGAAGTAAAGCCTACCACCCTTAGGAGGAAACTGACTTGAACATATGCTTTACTGCTCAAGGTTGAATCTGGAAGAACACACACACACACACACACACACACACACACACATATGCACATAAACTTGAACAAGTCTAGAAGTTTCTTTTGAAAAAGAAATAACAAATTTTAGTAAATGTTTCATATCACAGTCCTATATTACAAATGCATGAGGACTTTTGCACTGGGAAGAAGTTCTCATTAAAATGAATGGGAATCTTTACACCAGAGAATACAATAAGCATGAAAATGTTGTGAGGGTGAAAGCCTTAAAACCTCATGCAACACAACTTAGATCCAGATTGGACATCCTATGCCAACAAAAAGTTAATCATGGAATTTCTTATTATGTGTTTAGTTTGATTTTCTTCCACACCTTGAACATGGCTTTTAGCACACTGTTCCATAATTTTCTAAAGGACCAAGATTTTTGGTAATTGTATGCAAAAGATGACAGAATGATCTCAGTGCAAATCCAAGGCAAACCATTCAATATCATAGTAGTCCAAGTCTATGCCCCAACCACTGGTGCTGAAGAGGATGAAATTGAAGCCCTACAGCACCTTATAGAATCAACACCAAAAACGATGTCCTTATCATCATGGGGGATTGGAATGCTAAAGTAGGGAGCCAAAAGATAATTGGAATAACAGGCAAAGTTTGGCCTTGGAATACAAAATGAAGCAGGGCACGGGTTGATAGAATTTTGTCAGGAGAATACGATGGTCATAGCAAACACTCTTTTCCACCAACCCAAGTGATGGCTCTACACATGGACATCACCAAATGATCAACACAGAAATCAGATTGACTATGTGCTCTGCAGCCAAAGATAGAGAAGCTCTATACAGTCAGTAAAAACAAGACCAGGAGTTGACTGTGGCTCAGATCATGAGCTTTTCATTGCAAAATTTAGGCTTAAATTGAAGAAAGTAGGGAAAAACACTAGGCCACTCAGGTATGAACTAAATCATATTCCTGATGAATATACAGTAGAGGTGACAAATAGATTTAAGGAATTAGATCTGAAAGACAGAGTGCCTGAAGAACTATGGATGGAGGTTCGCAACATTGTACAAGAGGTAGCAACTAAAACCATCCCAAAGAAAAAGAAATGCAAGAAAGCAAAATGGCTGCCTGAGGAAGCTTTGTAAATAGCTGAGGAAAGAAGGGAAGCGAAAGGCAAAGGAGAAAGAGAAAGATACACCCAATTGAATGCAGAATTCCAGAGAATAGCTAGAAGAGATAAGAATACCTTCTTAAATGAACAGTGCAAAGAAATAGAAGAAAACAACAGAATAGGGAAGACCAGAGATCTCTTCAAGAAAATTGGAGATATGAAGGGAACGTTTCATGCAAAGATGGGCATGATAAAGGACCAAAATGGCAGGGACCTAACAGAGGTAGAAGAGATTAAGAAGAGGTTGCAAAACTACACAGAAGAACTATACAAGAATGAGCTTAACATCCCAGATAACCACGATGGGGTGGTAACTGACCTCGAGCCAGACATCCTAGAATGTGAAGTGAAATGGGCCTTAGGAAAGCTGAGCAACAACAAAGCTAGTGAAGGTGACAATATTCCAGCTGAGCTATTCAAAATCTTAAAAGACAATGCAGTAAAAGTGCTACACTCAATTTGCCAGCAAATTTGGAAAACTCAACAGTGGCCACAGGATTGGAAAAGGTCAGTTTACATTCCAATTCCAAAAAAAGGCAATGCCAAAGAATGTTCAAACTATCACACCATTGCACTCATTTCACATGCAAGTAAAATCCTACAAGCTAGACTCCATCAGTATATGGATTGAGAACTTCCAGAAGTACAGGCAGGATTTTGAAGAGGCAGAGGAATTAGAGATCAAATTGCCACCATATGCTGTATCATGAAGAAAGCTAGGGAATTCCAGAAAAACATCTACTTCTGCTTCATTGACTATGCTAAAGCCTTTGTTTGTGTGGATCACAACAAATTGTGGCAAGTTCTTAAAGAGATGGGAGTACCAGACCATCTTGTTTGTCTCTTGAAAAACCTATATACGGGTCAAGAAGCAACAGTGAGAACTGGACACGGAATCACTGATTGGTTCAAAATTGGGAAAAGAGTCCGGCAAGGCTGTATTCTGTCACCCTGCCTATTTAACTTATATGCAGAGCACATCATGAGAAAGGCAGGGCTAGATGAATCAAAAGTTGGAATTAAGATTGCCGGAAGAAATATCAACAACCTAAGATATGCAGATGATACCACTCTAATGGCAGAAAGTGAAGAGGAACTAAAGAGCCTCTTGATGTGGGTGAAGAAGGAGAGTGGAAAGTTGGCTTGAAACTCAACATTAAGAAAACCAAGATCATGGCATCTGGCCCTCTCAAATCCTGGCAAATAGATGGGGAAGAAATGGAGGTAGTGACAAATTTTATCTTCCTGGGCTCCAAGATCACCACAGATGGGGACTGCAGCCAAGAAATTAAAAGACTCTTGCTCCTGGGGAGGAAAGCTATGGCAAATCTAGACATCATACTAAAAAGCAGAGAGATCACCCTGCCAACAAAAGTATGTGAAAGTTGGACCATAAGAAAGGCTGAGCACCAAATAATTGAGGCCTTTGAACTATGGTGCTGGAGAAGACTCCTGCAAGTCCCCTGGACTGCAAGGAGATCAACCCTGACTGCTCTTTATAAGGCCAGATCTTGAAGTTGAAACTCAATACTTTGGCCACCTAATGAGAAGGAAGGACTCACTGCAGAAGAGCCTAATGCTGGGAAAGATTGAGGGCAATAGAAGAAGTGGACGACAGAGAATGAAGTGGCTGGATGGACTCACTGAAGCAGTAGTGTGAACTTAAATAGACTCCAGAAGATGGTAGAGGACAGGAAGGCCTGGAGGAACGTTGTCCATGGGGTCGCGATGGGTCGGACACGACTTTGCAACTAACAACAACAACAACATGCAAAAGAAAATACTTAAATATATAGAAATATTAATATATAGCAAACTGTCTTCCAGTTTCACAGATTCATCTCCTTGCCAAGTATAAATGCTGATTATACAATCAATCAAAATGCTATGAAAATCTGAATTAAAGATTTTTTTCCCCTAAAAATGGATGTCTTTTAGCTTTAGAGGAAATATTTGCATTTGTGACTTCATAATTTCAAGCAGAAAGTTGGGACTAAAATGATGCACTGCTTTGTGATCCAGAAACAGATTTTGGAATGAATCCATTAGATGGCTGAAGCCTAAAATAAAGACCAAGTAAAACCCATAATCGTAAATGAAAGCAAATTACAGGTCTGTTTCATAAATTGTAACTTTATGTATATTTTAAATCAAGAATTTTGTCTTCCAGCACAATGCAAGCTTTGTTTGTTATTTTTCAATCATACCCTTTTCCAAATCTCAGCCACAAAATTGCATCCAAACAATCACAAGAACAGTAAATGGCTTGTTCAGTTCATATGTGTCATAAGTACACTTTACCTGGGGAATTTTGTAGATGTCCAGTATGGTTGCCATGTGGAAATAGATATCAGGTCCTCCAATAACTGCAGCTGGATTGTTTTGAATGCCACATTTAAAATTTGGGATGAATCTATTCTGAGCAAAGAGAAGCTCCATTGAGGCAAGGTAGATCCAACTTGGACTGAAGTAGCTATTATAGATGCTGAATCCCACGGTGACATTGGGTAAAATCTGGGGATTTTCATTGATTTCCTTTATAGCAAAAGCTAAGGCCAGGATGTGTTGGTAACTCTGAAACAATACCCTGGAATGAAAACTTCATGCTGTTTTAAAAGTAAATTGTTCCAAAAGTATTTCCTATATTTATGCTTAAATCACCTTAATACTGAGCATTTCACAAATTATATAAAAATAAATGGATTTCTGAACAAGAAAGCATTGTCTTTGTTTTAGAAAATATAATTTGCATTATACATTTATGTAGAATTCACAGAATCACAAACCAGCTTCATAATAATGGGTGATAACTAGGGGCTAAGGATGTTACTTCTGAAACCTATAGTGCAATAAGGAGTCATAGGTATTCTTAGTTAAACTTAGACCAATACATTTAAGTCAAACACAATCTGGCCCCTTCTGCTATCCCTTGATTATTTATCAACACTAACACAAAATGCTGTTAGCAAAGTGTTTTAATATCATTTATTATCATTTACAGAAGACTGTATACTCAAACAGAGTTTCTGCAGCAGAATATTAAGTGTTAAACAAAATGATTAAAAAGATTAATGCACCCTGTTCATTACTGAGTGATGGTAGCTGTAACAGAGATTGCCTTAAGAAAAATTTGATTCAACACTAGGGTAAAAATATAAGACTTACACAAAATCATCAAGAAGTTCCAGAGAAGGGTGTTTAATGAAAGCAACAGGACTGGAAAAGACATAGAGCTGAGAAATAATGCCGGCAATTTTGAGATCTCCAGATTGAACGTATTTATGATGAATAGGGAGAGATTTACTACCATTGCAATTACGATTGGGGACCTTACACACCACCCAGACATTGATACTCATAATGAAACAATAAATACCACCATATTGCCTGAAAGTCTTCCTCCTGTATACAGATGGACCTGTTTCCACTTTGGCAAGTGCATATTTCCTTGATGAGTGGCTGAGCATTGCAAATGCATATTTCCAAATTGCAGAGCCTGCCATGATTCTCTCAAATATTTTGAACGCTAAACTGGGCAATGTAATATATCAGTGAGCAAATATGTTCTAACTGCAACCCCAGCTTTGCATGTTTGGGGGAATATTAATAGCATCCTTCATCTGTTTTCCACTCTGATACTCTGAGGGATTTGGAAAAGTAGTGGTGATAATCATGTGTAATTGGATAATTACAACGTACAGTAGATAATCACAAAGTCATAGTTTTTCATTCAATCTCACCTTAAAGACAAAATAATGGAAATGTTTTATGTGCGTGAATCAGGAAAAAATAAAGACCACAGTAATAAGAATTTTAAAAGAACCCTTCAGTGTGAAAACACTGATTTTTGAATATACACTGCACTACACATCCCTGTATACATAGAAGGATGACATTTTGGATGCTTTCAAAAGTGAAATATTACAACCTCCACAAGTTTTAGAATTTGCTGAAGTGTAGCATATATTTGTCTATCTATCTATCTATCTATCTATCTATCTATCTATCTATCTATCTATCTATCTATCTATCTATCTATCTATCTATCTATCTATCTATCTATCTATCTATCTATCTATCTATATCTCCCCCCCTCTCTGTATCTATCTATTTATCATATCTATCATCCATCTTTTTATATACCCACCAACCTACTTGTATTTCTTATTATGGATTAGATTTGTTCAAATCATTATCTAAATCAACTTCTTGATGGTGTCAAAATTGTTAGCTTATTATTCCACTCAATCATATTTTTGCCATTTTTTTTCAGCACTGGAAAATCCATATTTGTTCTCCAATGTTTGTTGTTTGTTATTCCAAAGACTTGTTTCTTATAATGTAAACATCCCTAATATGCACCCTAGCAAGGGAAACATATCTATGATTCAACCTAAAATCACTTAATTATGAGGAAAGAACATCTAACATTGAAAATATTAATGTGGAGAAATGGTGCAATTCATGTTAATAAAAATTATGTTTTCTCTACTTCTGAACAAAGATAATCATAGCAGAAAATTATTTTCTCTTCTAAGAAATGTCTAAGTTATAATTTTCATTACAAGTAGTCCACAATTGAGCCCCAAATTTAAGCGCCAAACATCATAAATATGAGTCATTTGCCAAGCATCAGAATTTTGATCATGTGGTCATGGTCATAAATGTGGAAAACAGTTCTAAGTTACTTTTTTCAGTGCTGTTGCAATTTTGAATTGTCACTAAACAAATAGTTGTAAGTCAAGGACTACCCGTATACAAGAAAAAATAAGGGTCTATTCAAGAAAGCAAGAAAAGAATACTGTACTGTGGGAAAAAACAATTTTAGAGGATATATAGAGAGAGAAATAATGCCACAGTCTATAACAGACTATGGCATTTTATCTCTCTATATATTTTCTAAGAATCACTTTGATTTGCCATAGGAGATGTTTTCCTTTGGCATCTGCCCAAACTGCTCCCTCTTCTTGATTTATGGAGGATGCTTTTTCCCCTGTTTTATTGTGATAGATTATTATCCAATAATACCCAACCAAAATATATTGGAATTTAGAACCAATCTAAACTCCTGAGACAGGAGAACATTTCCTTTAGAAATACAACACAATCAGACCTTCTAAAAAAGGAGTAATAGAAAATCACAAAACAAACCCAGACCCAGAAACTAGGTGTTACAAATGCAGATTGTTGAATGAAAACTCTTCATCATGGTTCAGTCCAAGCCGGGAATAAACTACATGGCGACTGCTTTAGAAAGAAGGTTGTAGTTTATTGAAGAGGAGAGCCAGACAGAAGGATGGCTCTGGATGAAAATAGAGAGAACACATGTAGAGAGTGGGTTTTTATATCCTCTGGGGCTCTTGAGGTTGTTTCCTGTTCCTGTTTGAGGGTAGTA